TATATATATTATATACAGAGTATCTCTGCATATAGTGCCAAAACTGCTACAGCTACTTTAACATATGAAAACAAGTCGAAAATATCTGATAAACATATATTGATTCTGATTTCAGGATATCGAAGTAAGAAAATATGAATCGTAGTAAGTGTTGTTTAATGTTGGTTATTCCATTTAATGGTTTATAAAAAATGTTTCTGTCGACTTGGATACTTTCTGGTACGAATTAATAAATTATTGTTTCGGATTTGATGACGAAATATTTAGTTTCGCTGATGATATTGATAACGTTAAGTTACCAATCAGTTATCATAATTATTCTGCATTTTGAATCTCATTTTGGTAGACTAGATCTTTCATTCGTCCCCAAAGAAAAAAATCCAGTGATGTGTGAGGTCAAGACTTTTCGCTGGCCTCTTTCAATCCAATGAGAATAGTGATCATGAAGAAACGTTCGCAAGAAATCATTCTTAACATGTATTTGCTTTCATTTCATTTCGGGAATAAATGAAAGATTTAGTCTATCAGAAAAAGATTTAGAATTCAAAACAATAAAATAACGAACATTAAACAACATTTACTATGATTCATGTTTTCTTATTTCAATATCCCGTAACTCCGAAACCGTTCGGAATCGGACATATATATGTTTATTAGACATTTTTGACTTGTGTTCAAATGCTGAAGTCGCTGTAGCAATTTTAGCACTGTATGCAGAGACTGTATATCACACACGCTCGATGTAAAACGCAGTGAGATTCTTTCGATTGATACATTAGATTAATTACAATTTTATTTTGAATTAAACATTCATTAATTTTGTTTTATCTTATGCCAGTGCGTAATTTATAAACATAATAAAAGTATATTTTTGTTCTCTATGCCAAATAATCATCGCCATTCATTCGTTCCATCTCGATTGGTCCACTACCGAAAATCTTGCGATTTCTTGTATACGGTATAATACCTACCAAGATTCCAGAGACAATGATCCAACCACCAGCCATCAGGAAAGAAAGTTTCCAAGAACCGGTCACATCAAAGAACCATCCACCCAATGGAGGTCCCAAAAGATTACCGATTCCTTGACACAATAAGCTAAGACCGTAAGCGGTAGTGAATCTTTCTAAAGGAATCAATTCTACTAATATAACAGGCGTGAAACTAAAATTACTGGCAAAGAAAAGACCGAAAGCTGCCGAGCTTATCGATAGAAATACGTAATGTTGTATGAACACAGATATCGATATAGTGGCTGCTCCACAAGCTATCAGACACCAAGCATACGTCTTGCTGACATTCATCCAGGATTGATCGCCAGCCCAGCCTAGACCAATCTAAAAAAAAAAAAGCAATAGTAATAGAAATGAAGGAATAAAATATTGTTAAAGTAAAATTTGATATTACCATTCCGATGGTATTGGTTATACCGATGATGCTGAGAAGATTAGCGGCATCGGACTCGGTGTACCCGTTTCTAGTCATATACTCCGCCAGGTAAAAATACGGTACGATGAACCATGTGAATAACAATATCGTCGCCAATGACATTAACAGGAAATGCAATTCGAAAAACATGGAGAAATCCAACATACTTTTTAATAAGTCTATCAGTTCGGCGTACCACTTCTGCCCAATGAAATTGCCAGGAAATGAAGAAAGAAAATCGATAGAAACACATCTCCCATATATCTCTTGCAAATTTCTCCTTTCCAAAAGAAAAGATTTATAAAAATACCTGTTCATTCTCTTTTGCCAATGTGGTCATACTATTTCTATAGATGTCAGGACAACTGCTCGCTCTAAGCCTGTATTTGTGCAGATTTAAAGCAGCACCGCGATACATAACGGAATTTCTGTGCACTCTGATATCCTTGAAATAATGAGTGTTGGTGCTGAATTGTCGTCTGAGCCAAGGTAAGGAGTCCGTCCTGATGACATTACTGGACTGTGGCTCGACATAGCGTCGAGTGGACACGGATTTCTTTTTTTCAATCGGTGCGACCTAGCAAGAAAATAAAGTTATAAAAGTTACGCGTTTCGCGGGTTTCCTCTGTGTCCAGATCCATTCTTAAATGCCAACGTTTCGTGAACCTTGCAGTCCATTTCATCAGGGCGAAGAGCAGCCCGTTGTACTGTTACAGTGGAGTGCAAGGTTCACGAAACGTTGGCATTCAAGAATGGATCTGGACACAGAGGAAATCCGCGAAACGCATAACTTTTATGTAGAAAAAGCACCCGTGGAAGCTTCAAAAATATTATCAAAATAAAGTTATGTGATGTGTCGCGTCGTGTCGCTTCACGTTATGGTAAATTATACAGAATCCATAATCGAATCTATCACACATCGTTCGAATTTGTTAATTACCGAATGCGTGATTTCCTTTCCTAGCAAAGGATTAATTTCCTCTGTTCCTTTCCTGGATATTTTTCTGGCGCAAACAAGTTTCGTCGGGGCGGAGGTTGAATCTTTCGTTTGTTCAACGATCGCTTTCGATTCCGTTGCTCGTTTAAGCCTTTGTAGAATATAATAAATATTAAATGTCACAGACTATTGTAATATTTATTGTAGTATTCGACGAAGGGTCGCGCGGCAAGCATACGCGTGATTGTAAGAAGAAGATATGAAAATTTGGTTCTCATGCAATAAAAATTCTTAATTAAAACTAGCATTATATTGTATATATGTACACACATATATATATATATATATATATTAAAATATGTGTATTAAATGCGTAGTAAATTAACCTCATTGACATAGTGACGCCGCTTTTATTACAAATCTCTCCCGTCGAATCTTGCAGCTGTTTATCAGACAAACTTCTACACAACAAGAGGCTGGGGTAATTCTCCAGAATGACAGTATATAGCCTAGAATTGGATAGCAATAACTCCAATACTTCCAAAGGCACCTAGAATCTCACATTTAAATTGATTTATTTTTATAGGAAACTGACAAATTGAGCAAGTTGCCGCTTTATCGCATCCTTGCAACATTTGCAGTCCTTCCCTTTCATCGCAGTCTCACCTTTTCGCTTCGCTTTACAAAAGTTGGTAAATTAACTACACTTGTCGTCTGCCTCTTCGCTCCATCGACCGCTTTAGTACTGGTACTTAGATTTTGTAAAAAATATTCAGGCGCGTGGTCACTTCTAAAGAGCTTCCTCAGCTCGTCGACGCCTGGAAACTCGTCCGACGAACTTACGTCCAAGCGGCCGTACGACTTCTTTGACAGAGCAGCTTGGTCCTGTTTGCGTTGCTCCAGAATCCACCATTCCGGATCTCTCATAACGGTACCCGCGACGATCATATTGAAGAAAGTACCGGCTAGGAGCAAACAAGCGCCTCGCCAGCCGTACTCCTGGATCAAATACGTTGTCAA